ACACTCTCGAAAATTAAAAACCCACACAACCCTACCTTCGCACAACGAAGAAGATCCTCCCCACGGAGATGGAACTCTCAGAACGAGAGAAGGGAACTCTCAGAACGAGAGAAGATTTTTTAAATGTTGATTTTATTAAAGCATATAAAATTGAATAACTAAAATTTAGAGTTACTTTTAAAATTAATTTCAAAATAAAATCTTCAATATGATGAATATTGTTTTTATAAAGCATATAAAAATTAATATATAACTAAGTAGTCATTAAAAAAAATCTAAAAAAAAAATAAGAAGTCTCCGAATATCTAAACCAAACCACACCGAACCGTACCGTCCCAATTGTCCCGAATACCGAACCGAATCGAACCGAATCGAACCAAAAAATAAAAATCTCCGAACCGAATCGAACCGACTTTTTGGTGCGGTTCCGGAGATCGAATTTTGGGATCTCCGAACTTTGGTACGGTTCTGGAGATTCCGGAGATTTTATTAATCTCCGAACCATACCGACCCACGCTCACCCCTACCACTCACCAGTCGTCGCCAACATTCACCCCCTCCGCCACCACAGCGACCGGCCTGTCCCACGCCACCTATTTTCGACCTCAGTCAATCTCCGCCCACAACAATCTCATTACCATGCTGCGACGGTGAAATGGCGATGGGCCACCTAACCCTCAGTTTTTTTTTTTTTATGTTTTTGTTTATTTTTTTTTTTAATTTAACCTAGATGTTATTTATACTTGGTACTGAGTGTGCCACATCACGCCAGAAAATCGTTAATGGATCTGATTGGGCACCACATCAGTATTTTTGACAGAAATGAGGGTCGTAATTTTGATTAGGAAGAAAATTGTCTCAAAAAATAGATAGTGCAGATAAGCTAAATTCGAAACAAATAAAGGGCGAAAGTGCAGCAAGGGTAAACATAGTGGACGAATGGTGAAGTTTTTTATAGTTGTTCAAATCCCACCATGTAAACCACAATTACACCATGTGTCATATTAAAAAAACCACGTCATGCCACATCACATTTTTATCCCGGGGTGCAGATAAAAATGGACCAAAGTTGAAAAAAAAAATTCAAATTATGAGATCAAGTTTGAAAGTTATCAATATCGAGGTGCAAAAATAGAAAGTGGTCAAATTAGAGGATCAATTTTAAAATTTTACCATAGAATAATGCTGCTAGGACCATAAAATTATGTTTCTCCCATCTAAGAGTTGAATTACATTGAACACACTTACACTTAAATTAGAAAGCTTAACTTTGCATTCATTAAATAAACTTCCAAACAAGATGAAATCATCCACAATTATATTAATGAAATCACCCATGAAAATTAAAAGCATGCGCCTTTGAGATGAGTGAAATGCTTAGTCCAAATGGCATCTTACAAAAGGCAAAGGTCTCAAAAGAACACGTGAATGTCATCTTAGGTTGCCTTTGGTGCTATACAGATTTGATAACATCCCGACAATCCATCTAAGATTAATTAACAATCCATCTAAGATTAAATAGAAAGGATGTCCAACAAGCTTGTCAATTAGTAGGTCAATGAATGGAAGAGAAAGTGGTCCCTTTTTTGCGGCGACGTTGAGTTTCAAGTAGCCAATACACATTCTCCACTTGATAGTGGCCCGGAGGAAACTTGCTCACCTTTGTCGTTTTTCAATCACCGTGATCCCACTCTTTTTTGGGACCATGTGAACTAGACTCACCCACTAAATCACAGTGACAAGATAAATTATCTTCTCCTTTATAAGTTTAAAACTATCCTCCTTTACTACTTCCAATTCGGATTGATCAATAAAAATCGACTTCAATGCGACCAATCGGTTAACAGTCGACCGCTCTACCACTGAGCTACTGAGGAACAACGGGAGATTTGATCGCATAGAGTTCAATTCCCGCTCTCAACGCCATTTTTCTGGTATTAATTTAGACCAATTTATCTGAGATAAATTGTATTGATAATGTCCTCTTAACCAGTTTTTCCATTGATTTATTTCAGAACTTGGAAGTTTTTTTTCCCCTAATTTGGAATGAACCGTCCCTCGCCTTTCTAAAGAATCCTTTATTTCGGGTTTCAGAAAAAAGGGTATTTCTTGATAGTGAAGAAGAGATCTTAATTTATCCGAATTAATAACTTGGATTTTGGCTAATTTGTAAAATACATATGCTTGTGACACGTCGGATAAGTCATAACAAGTATATGAATCTTCTTCACTTCAAAGTCGGATTAATCATTACAATGGATAGCTGGTTGAATACAATGTTCAAGACAGTACGTGTTATGAGAGGTTATAAGAGTTGATAGAATAACTTGGAGAAAAATAACTCAGAAGTAGCTAAAATTAATCCATGAGATCCCTAAAGATTTGAATCCATTGTTTATTTAATAACCATACAGTCCTATGAGTTCGTTTGTACGTATAAGGAAACCCTGTTCCTAATGAGCATGAGTGAATGAACTTAGAAATAAGTTAGAAAACCATTAAACTAAATTATTAGCAGCAACAGTGCTTACAACATCATGAATTCATATATTTCTCAATTTAAACAATGTTGTTGCGAATTTTCTCCCCAATGGATTGTGTTAAGACTATCAACGAGAAAGGTCACAGAAAAATTTTAAAAAAAATTATCCTATCCCCACCGAACATCGGTCTGCAAAGGGGGGCTATACAACTCTCAGGTAAACAAGAAAAAAACAAAATCAAGTAAAGAATATTTCTCTAGTCTTCGGATTCACTTTACGGCGCCTCCTTGAAGTAGATCTCCTCTCTTTTCCACGTCGAACCATGTTCTTTTTGGGAAGACTCCTCTCACGAACTACGATCACTGGTGAACTTTGAGTTCTCAGAAAAGCCATGTGGGCCCTTTGTTCCAACAAGTCCCTGTGATAAGCCTGTAAAAACAGAACGGTTATAAAAACCACCGGTGCTTCAACAGAACAAAGGTGTTGCTTGAACATTAGTTACAACCAAAAAAAAAAAAACTATATCTATACAATGGACCAAAATTTTTTTCGCCTATAATTGGCATTTAATTAATCTTTATTTATTAACAAATCTTATGCATGAAAAAAAAAATAATAAATTTTTGTATGCTCAATGGCTAATATTTATTAACTATAAATTGACTTATATAATTTACTGATACAATTCAAAAAATATTATGAAAATTGATTTGAATACATATAATATCGTCTATGGTTGTAGGTATTAATTTAATTAATTACATTCACCATTCACCATTCAAAAGTACCTAAAATATTTAATAAAACAATCAGAACAACTTAAAATATTTAATAAATTAATTAAAACAACAATGTTTGAATTATATTAACTTAATGAATAAACTAAGATATTAATAAAAGTTTCTAAAATGTTGTCAACTGAACCATAAAAAGGTACATCTGCAGTGAATATATCATTTGTAATGGTAATACTATTAAAAACTGATATAATATATTAATAAAATTAAAATTTAATGGCCGGGTACAATTCAGAATTACAAAATTGACCTTAGAAATATCTATGTACATAAAAAAAACTATGCAAAATTTAAAAAGATACAATTTTTCTTATATAATACTTTATAACTAAAAATAAGTAAATAAAATAGAATTAACTCATCCACAATGAGAGATATAAGGCTAGAATTAAACCAGCATCTTAGAAATACACAAAGACTACATTATAGAAAATTTGAAGTTGTTTCAGAGGAATGCTAGTTGGCATGTAAATTCAGAGGAAATGCAAGTTGGCATGGCAAAAGCATGGAGACAGGATATAAAAGTCAAATATACCGCATTTTGTAACAGGATATAAAAGCTACCTGTATAACGAAATTGCGCCTTTCACAATCTAGAAACATATGGACGCCCCAGTTAACTTTGGCAGCAATTTTGTCCCTCACAGTTGAAAAGCTCAACTGATCCCTGGAAGTAAATCGGTCAACTTCATTAAACCACAGACAACTGAAGAGATTTGTGATGGGGATGTGTTCTCTTATAATTACACATCCTTCAGGAACATCTGCAGACATTTTATTTCTCATCAATTTTGAGTCGAAACATGAACAAATTACATAACCCAGCTATAGACTTTACCACTAGTTATAGGAAGCTTAGCAGTTGTGTACGGTGTTAAACCTTCCTTTTTATAAAATTCAATCTGATAATCGATAGAAGTATTATCGTACTTCCCTCCAGCTTTATTGGCTTCGGCTTCTTTAAACACATCAAAGCGACGATAGTGCCTTGAAATAGCAAAAGTTGCATTTTGGCGCCACAAGAACCTGAGGAATTAAGTGGTTGAGGGGTTGAAATATTTGAGCAACATGCATGACAAGAGCAGTTTTACATCTACAACAGACTGGATATAATTGAAGTTGATGCAGAAAGAATCGAAGATACCTCTCAAGAACCTGGTATGGGTCCACAACAAGCTGAAGCTTTCCATCAATCCAGATAGAGTACCTCGAATTCGGAAAGAGCCTATGCAACAAGAGCTTTGGCACCTGAGACAACAAACAAATGCTTCTAAGGGTTTAAAAAAATTAAAAAGATTGTAATTATAATAACAACAAGGAAAACATAAATAAAATAGCCAATAGAAAAAACACAGAACTAATCTGGAATTGGGTTACATCATTTAACAATTCTACTTATAAGCTGAATACCATCAATCACTCTCAGTTATTCAACAACCATAGTGCAAAGTAGTAATTCAATCACCTTTTTGTATCCAAAAGTAAGCTAGGCTTAACCAAAAATAATCAACGAAAGAAACAAAATGCTACCGTAAACTTTTCCAGTATCAGTCACAAATTTTTTCAACACATATGAAGAGACCATGAGATCTGGTTCTGCACATTAGTGGTCCAATGAGAGCCTACCCTAACACCTACAGTGCCCAGTTCCCTCATGCCAAAACAGGACTCCAGGTATAAGAACCATTAACTGGATATAGAACACGAGATAAAGCTCCAGAGGAGAAAAATTCAGCGAGCATATCAGATGAAGCTCATCAGCATGTGTGTGATAATTGGTAACAAAGGATCAATTCTTAGGTTCAGACCATGTACTACTCTGTATGTTTGTCACAAATCAGCATACAGGTTGGTTACAATAAACATGTCAGCAACAACGGTGAAAACGTAAGGGTATGAACACATGAAGTCAACAGACCTTTCCATTTCTCCTTGAATCAATGTAAGGAACATTACGAACAACTATAATCCTCCACAATCCAACTTTCTTGTTACTCCCCAAGATGCTAGAATTTTTCATGTATGTTTCAGTCACTTCATCAACAAACATAAAGAAAGGAACATCCCTTCGTGCAGTTTCACCAATATTCTTTGGCTGCTGAATTACATCGTAATTTCCTGTAAAGAATACGCATAGATATTATAAAAAAATAAAGGAATAGGCTTGATTAAAGATCTTACATAAAAAGGTAACGACATAAGAAAGGTGCAAGAGTTCCATAGCTTATGGAGTGATATTACTTATATGTATGTTACAATCTCAGATACAAAAGTATTGAACTTCGTATTTAGCTTATGTTTGGCCGTACCAAATATAGCAGAGGCAACAATGACTTCATGCAACTGCTCCAACAACTTAAGGTCAGTCACATCAATGTCGAATCCAGTTTGATGACCAGGTCTGCAACCTTTCACAAAGCTGAAGAAAACAATATGTTTCAAATTCTTCAGATTCCAGCCAGATAAATTTTGGAAGAAAAAAAAAATGTACACAAATATAATGCTAGGATAAAAATTAAAACTTACCCACAGTGAACAGTCATTGACTCTCGGATGTTAAAAGAATCATTCCTCTGCTTCAGCGAAGGATAGCCACCAAAATCGGACCCTCCATTTGCTTCGGTGTTTGATGGATTCTCCTCAGAGAAATAAGTTAAATTCTGAAGAACAGGAGAAGGAGATGGGAATCTGGGCATACGGGCTATGGCCTGCTCCACAGGTACATAGCATACTGGGCATGCTGACAACAGTCACAAACGAAGTCAACTTAATATATTTAAGCATGTGCCGACATGCAATGGTGCATACATGAACATCCAACAACAAAACAGGAGGGAACTTTCCTCCACCACACTATCTTTTTAAGAAATGACAGTCCCATAGGCAGTTTTAGCAGTTGTTGTAGCAAGGGTATGTGCAGCAAAGATACAAAAAGAGAGCAAAACTTACGGCGCGGGCCGACTCGCCTTGCATCACCGGGAGGAGGGGGAGGAGATGCAAAATCTTTGCATGGATTCGTTAAAACAGTCGCATCCACTGAAGAGTTGCTCAAACTTGAGGAATTGAAAAGAATGCCCCAATAGGTACTCTCTTTACATACTAAAACTTTGTTAATCTTCAAACTACTGTTAGATGGCACTGTTTCTTTTCCAGAAAAGTATGTAGGGGTGATGACGGACTTGTTAAAATATCTAGCATCAAATGGCAAACCTGAGCTGTCGAAATCATCCTCTGGAAAAATAAAAATAAAAAAACCATCACTCATATACATGTCATTCTTGTGAAGAACTATGGTCTGCTGCTAGGAAAATGAGATTTTCAGGCTACAAAATTCACTAATGCACCAAATGTACTTCAAGCTGTTGTGCCTAATACAACTACATGTTGAAGCACAAGATGTATCAAGTGCAAACCTCCTATTTCCTTCAAGTATGCCAAAGTTATGCCATTGAATTGAGATGAAAATGTTCAAACAGAATCACAATAACATCACAGGTTAATGGGAACGCAGGGAAAGAATCGTTAACTCTTTTTTTAGTATATGCAAACATTTTGGTAATGACAGAGTTGGAAAATGATGTGATGAGTTGGGAAATGATTGTAAGGCCGAAAAAACAAGAACCAGAGGGAAGCAAAATCCACAGCATCAAACCTTTATTGACTGTAAAGAACCCTGTCATGAATGCTACAATGGCGAAAGCCGCCAGCACCAGCATTGCGACTTTCTTTCTGCTCAAATATCTGAAAGTGGTGGAGAAAAACTTTTCTTTCTCTCTATAACCAGTAAGGGATGTCTTTGATGGCCTGCGAGTTATGTACAGATTCTGAAGCTGTGATCCTCCATTCTGTGCCTGTTGCTGCAAGGATCCAAAACTTCCGGACAGTCTTGATCCCAATGACCCACCAGTCATTGTACCTTCAACCCCTCATAAGCAAGTTTCATCTTTTCTTTCTATCACATGTCTCCTTCATCCATAAACGAGCCCTGTATACCATACACGATATGGAAAATGCTGTCCCTGATGACCAATAACTGAGTATGTTCGGATTATTCGAAAAAATAAATAAATAAATAAAAATAAAAAACAATCAATGTTTTCGATGAACCAGCCAGGTTATTCAAAATTAAACTGGCAATTAATTCCTAGAAGAAATGCCAAAGAAAAAAAAAGCTGTGCAGCTTTCGACAACAATGAATCCACCACATTAGAATCAGTACTGAAAAACTAAGATTAAGAACCCTCCTTAACTTGCCCAAATCTACGAAACAGTAAACAAATTGGATCGCACCAGTCCCACTGTAAAACAAGCAGACAATGAAACACTAAGTCTCTTAAGCAGAAGAACAACAATGAATCATAAAGTCCGATAAAACAAAACTCGAGCTTCGGAACTCATAGTGTAACACGAAAGACCTCTGAGTTCCTTTCTCAACGCCAATTCAAAAGCAAACACAAATCAGCGATACAGACATGCGCAGTTAGCTACAAATCTAATCAAAACGGCGAAATCCAACCCCAATCGCCATAGAAAAATCCGAATCTTGACCTCATTCCATAAATGCTCCACCCAGATTACATGTAAATGAACGCCAGAATACAAAAATTGATTGGGTTAGCAGCTCACCTTTGGATAATCAGACAAAAAGTAACGTTTCTTTTTCCAAACAGAGATAAGAAATCGGATGATGTAAAATTCTAGAGAATTATAAGATTTGAAGAATGCTAAGTAGTGGTGGTAATGGTATCCTCCTCGACCTGGGTCATGGTTAGCAGCTGTGCATTTGCATTGATTTTTTCCTTTTTTTTCTGCATTTATTTATTTTATTGCTAATTATACTTTGTGCTGCCCAATCATGCGCGCCATTTCATAATATATGCAAAATTCGATAAATATTCTCTAACAATAAGAAGCCAAAAATTAATGCACATGATTTCCTTTCCTTGTGTTTTAATTTGTATATACTATTATAATATAATATATCATATACTACACGGATATTTAAATATAATAATATTTGTATATTAAAAGAATTAAGAATAATTTTTATCTTAATTGTGAATAATGAATATGTAAAAATAATAAATACCTAACAAAATGATAATTAATTCAAGTTTCTGTATTTTACACTAAATTTCTCAAAAGATATTTTTTTTTTAACTATAGTATTAGAAAATTACATATGTAAAACCAATATTATTTACAGCACCATATATTTTATTCAAATATTTTTAAAAACAAAACGATTTTATTGTATTGTTATTATAATTTATATTTACAGAGTAAGTGTCACTCGTTTATTAATTTTTTAATTATTTTAAATTCATGAAGTTAAAAATTTAGAATATTAATTTACATATAAATGTATTATTTTTTAACTTTATGAACTTTATAATTATCTTATTATATGTAATTATGATATTCCTATATATTTATTATTTCAGACAACATAATAACATTCAATTTTTTTATATAATATATTTAAATAGAGAAATAATACTCTATAATATTTCTTAAAAATTGTTTATGTAATACTTAATTTTCATATTTTATCAAATATTTATGGTGAAAATACATTTAAATGATTATTTTATTGTGTATCAATAAATTAGATTTTTATTATTTGTATAAAATAATTTATATTTTTATTTGATGTTTTTTAAATTGATTTGATAATAAAATTAGTTTTATTTATAAACATAGATGAAGTTACTTTTTATATTATGGTACGCAAAAGACCTTAGATCAACTAGAATCAGTCTGAATTTGAGCTTCCACACCGGTAGATCACCTGTTGATCTACAAAACTCTTACACCGGAGGGGTTTTCTGGTGAATAGTCTCTGATGCTTAAATGAACACTTGCAGAAGATGAAGTGCAGAAATTAGTGTATGTAGTAATATAAAATGTAATGTGATAATAGGCATACCTCACTCCCTCATATAGAGGGGTGATACCTTATTGCCCAAGACTGACCGGATAGACTGCTCAAACTGCCCGAACTGCCTGAGTTGTCCGATAGTACAACCCGGACTGCCCAAAGTGCCCGAACTGCTGGAATCACCAAATTGCTCTTAACTTGTTAAGATTCCTTCTTATCCTTTAGTCTTTCAATACTGTGCATGTTGTTTGACGTTCCTCACAGAACCCAACAACTGGTATCAGAGCCCAGGTTTAATTTCAACCTCGTGCACAGTTTGAATTTGGACTTTGCCTGTTTACATGAATTATGTGCGTACGGACGCTGCGGCATAGTAGATTAGAAATTGCAATAAGTTTTTGTAGGTGATTTCGAATCCGACTATTATGGCCCGTATGTATGGTTTTTTAATTCATGTTGAATGTATGATGTTTTAAAGCCTCGGACATGTCGAGAAATTTTTTGTGTTGGTGAATGCTTGTAATAAATTATTCGCGCGGTGGGACACCGCATAGTTTATTGCTTTCATAGAAACTCATGTACGGCTCCTGCATGGGTCATAGGATGAATTATGTAATTGTTGTTTATATTATTCATTATTGATCCGACAGACGTGGACCAACCTTGACGGGGCGAGGCGATGAACACGTACACGGTGCCATGGTGATGTTCCAATGGTGACTTTCCCGGAGACGACCAATTCAGTGGGAGTCACTGTGAAAGGGGAGATCCAATACCTGAATCGGAGGACACACTCAACAAAGACGGGATTGTGTTTTCTCCGTAACATTGGAGATTGATTAATGGCCATGATAGTTGGATTATAATTCCTAGTTTATTATTGCTTATTAATCATGCATGTTTTATGTGATTGCTGATGTGCAAATCAAACATGATTTAGAAAATCCTAAAATAAAAATTATATTAAGTGTGTAATGGGTTGAAATAAATTACATCGAAGGCCTCCATTATCGGTTTGTCAGTGAAGTGATTTAATTCGAGCCCAAAGGACGTTTTATTTCACAGTTCACAAGGACGAATCTCCTTCGGGATGGTTACAGTGAGCTATTTCAAAAGCGTATGGGTCACCCAAAGGTGGACGTAAAATTTTGGTAGTAAACTTAGTACCAATTAATGGGTTACACTTAAAGTACAAATAATTACGATAGTCCCAAAGGATAAGGTCGTTTTGATTCTTTTATAAGTTAATTGTGCTGGCCAAAAGATAAAACCGACTATTAGTTAAGTATTGCTCGACATTATGTTAAGCTAATGGGATTTATCCCTCCTCTTGCAGATGTTTGAACCGTAGACGTCCACACTCCGTGGCCTGCGGGGATCCAGTGTTTTGAGGTGTTGGTGAATTTTTTTGAATATTGTTACATGGGATCGATATTTGATGTTTAAATTCAAAACGACTTGACTGAGTAAAGACTATGTTTGCATGATCCCAGGAATTCAAAATGTCTTTCAATCCGTTATCCGTAATTCTCAAAGAAAACAAACTTGTTGGTCCCAATTATATTGACTGGGAAAGGAACTTAGATATTATGTTAACTGCTAAGGAGTACAAATTTGCTACTGTTGAGGCTTGTCCGGATGTGCCTGCTGACAATGCACCAAACCAAGAGAAAGATGCATATGCTCGGTGGAAAAAGGTTGATGAGATGGCGAAGTGTTACATCTTGGCATCATTGTCAAATATACTTCAACATCAGCATCAGTCTATGAACACTGCAGCAGAGATGCTTCTCAATCTCAAGGAGTTATTTGGTCATGGGTCGCGGGCTGCCCGACAAGAGGCCATGAGGATTCTGATGAACATTACCATGCATGAGGGCACTCCCGTAAGGGAACATGTTCTTGCTATGATGGCCCAGCTGAATGAGCTGGAGGTTCTTGGGGCTTTTATTGACGGGGAAACTCAGGTCGATATAGTGCTCCAGTCTTTGCCGAAGAGCTTCGAGCAATTCCGGTTGAATTACAACATGAATAAGATGTTGATGACTCTTCCGGAACTTGTTGCTGAACTTTAGTCGGCAGAGGGTCTGTTTCGTCAGAAGAACCAAGGTATGGTGGCCTAGCGGGGAGAAGCTTCCACTTCTAAGGCTCCTAAGGGCAAGAAGAGGAAGAAGTCTGCAGGAAAGGGCAAAGCGGTCATGAATGATGCACAACCTCGACAAAAGGCGAAGAAGCCGAAAGGCAAGTGCCGCAAATGTCTGCAGAAAGGACATTGGAAGGCAGACTGCCCTGTCCTCAATAAGTTCGATAAAGGTATATCTTTTTCTTTAGTCGTTGAAACATGTTTAGCAGTGTTATCTACCAGTACCTGGTGCGTAGATACAGGAGCCACTGATCATGTATGCAATTCAATGCAAGAGTTCCAGGAAACCAAGCGACTTAGGAAAGGAGAAGTTACCATCTACTTGGGCGATGCTAGTAAAGCGTCAGCAGTAGCAGTGGGAGACGTCTATTTGGATTTTGGCTTAGATAGGGTTCTAGTTTTGAAAGATTGTCTTTATGTTCCTAGTTTTAGAAAGAATTTGATTTCAGTTTCTAAGTTGTTTATGAGATTTTGGGGGAGTACACAAATTCGCGCTGATACTAGAAACAATGAACGTTCATGTAAAATTTGCGGAAGCGAATAAATAAAAACGAACTTTCAAGAGAGCGTCCCACTCTCCCTCAGAACTCTTTCATTAAGCAAGTGTTTGGCCAACAAGTACAAATAGGATTTACACGCATAGACTCCCTCTAAGCTAACCTACTTTGTGCTCCACCCACCTAACTACTTTTCTGGCCACGGCGTGGACTTACGCTGCACGTATGGATCCCTCCAAGCAGAATAAAGATGCTCGTCCCAAGCACCAAGTAGAAACAAAGACTGACAACTCGAATTACCAGCAATGAACCTTCACGCTGGAATCCGATCACTCTATAAAATATAATCAAAAACTCACGAGCTCTCAATGAATAAAACTCTAAACTCTC